CGGCTTTTGGGCTTCCCCAGACAGCGAGGAAGGAGGAGGAGGAAGGCGCAGGGCTGGGGAGGAAGGTGCAGGACTGGAGTAGTTCTCAGCAGAGGTGTTTAGAGATGCCTTGCGCTGACTCTGCCCCTCACTGCTGCCCGCAGACCCCGACAGCCTCTGTCTAGGGCAGAGCCCCACAAAAAGCCAACTTTCCTTCGGGAAAAAAGCAAATTCCTCCCCAGATCGCATAGAAAGCGATTACTACAAACTTTTCCTCATACTTACGGGCAGGTAGGATGGCTCCTTTGCGCTTGACAGAGTGAAACCAAGTGCTTATTTTTTCAAATGGAGAAAGGTCGTTTAACACCCCAGATAAATCCTAGATGCTCTCCTGGAGAGTTGAGTAGGAAGCTCCTAAACCTGTGCGAAAAGATTGCGTTGCGTTCCCTCCGTCCATCAGTTGGCTAGGGAGAGGCAGAGAGCAGAGCTAGGCTGGAGAAGAAAGAGTGCTTCACCGTAACGAGGGAGAAAAGAAAATACTTCCCTGCCCTTTAAAATAGGAGCTGTTGGCACAACCAGGACGAGCAAACTGAATCCAAATTGAGTCCTCGCCAAACTGTGCCTTAAATTATAAGTCCGCTGTGGATGCTATAAAATGAAGTTTAACTTCTGCTTGATGGATTCGGAGAAAGAATATAATATTAATAGAACTGGGAATTAAAAAAACAGGACACACTTCTTGCTTTAAAGGCATTTTCCTACAAGAAAACAGACATGAATTTAATCGCTTTCCTTTGAAGAAAAATAGGACTGTTTTATAGGAAAAAAAAAATTACCATGCAAATAAAATAAAAGCAAAGCAGAAACATGTAAGTACAGTAGTAGTTTGGGAAAACTGCCATATTAGGAGGAGCAGGAATATTTGATTGTAAATCAGCAACATCTGGTTGATAAGGAATGACATCTGCGTATCTGTCTCTGTCAAAATATACGCACTGACAAACGCACGAATCCCTACAGACACACACGCGCTCACATCCCGGCAGACACATGCACAGGCACACAGACACCACCACATATTTTACACACTCCCCTACACATTGTACATACGCTTACATCCTTCTCTCCCCCCTCCCAACAGATGCATTCCTCTTCTTGCTGAGCTGAATCGTTGGGGGAACGAAAAAAGAGTGGCTGTAGCCCCAAGATAAAGACCCAAATGAGAAAGATAGAGCTGTAAAAATAAACTAGGGAATGATCTACCCTAAATGGCATCTCCCTCCAGAGAAGGGAATAAAATCTGTAGCTTGCCCCAGCGCAGATGGAGCGTTACAACGGGGCTGCGGCGGCGCGCGGCTGATGCCGTTGCGGATGTAGGCTGTGCGGAAGGGTAACATCCTTCCACTGAGTCGAGTGGCAAGTGAGGTCCTTTCCCGAGCTTGGCTTTCACAGCAGAGATATTTTCACGTTGCGGTGCAGACGGTGTTGCCCGTTGCCGTAAACGATCGCAGTCGCACCGGTCTGCGCCTGAGTTCAAGCAGGAGGGTCTGCCTGTCCATCCCCACGTCGCTTTGTCAGTGCGCTACCAATTTTATCCCGTTTACAGCCATCTCGCGCTTCCACCCGTCACCTGCAGCACATCCTTCACGCAAACTTTTCTACCCGCACACTTACCTACACTTTGTATACACCACATGTTTTACACACAGTTTGTATACACCTATGTATTTCACATATATGTATTTTACACACACACATATATACACAATCAAATTTATACCTGCATGTGCTTTAGG